TTAAATGTAGTCAGGCTACATTTAACAACTGAAGTAAAATGAAGCTAATAGAAATGAAGTAAAAAGTAAAAGTCAAGCAAAAATCACATTCTGCTTGCAATAAATGTAACAACTTCAACTACAATAACAGTAAAATATTTAAGGTTATGTAATTATATTCTATTACACTAAATATATATAAACTCCTTGTACAGTATCAAAAGTTTACTATTTCACACTATTGCCTATAAAAATAGTTCATTTATTACTCTCCTAGTCCCAGAGCTGGAAAACAATGAGTAGCTGGATTTAATGGATTTTAAATGCTGATAGGTTCCCTTTAATTAGGAAAATAGGAAAGTCAGATTCCATCTAAAATTATCTTACCCAGCTCATTACCTGCATAACACATTTTAGGATTTAACCTGCACGAAAGTTATCCTTGCACTGTTTAACCCCTCCATAATGCTTAACACTATATACTTTTCATGGTCATTTGTACTGAATGAATTTGACATCAAAGCTTAAGAAATTTACTCTCCACTTAACCCTGAGCACTGTCGTATCAGGACGAAGAGCTGTGGGATTGCCCAAGGGAGCTGCTCCGTGCCTGCTCTACCTGCTGGTGTGGTGGGAAAGGACAAGTTTTCCCTCAGTTACTGCCCCCAAACAAGAGGCTCCAGCCCTTCCTCCAGCCCCCACACCAGCTAGGATATGCTAAAATTGGTGCCGAGTACCTATAATTCATTTAAAACCAAATTCAATCCACTTCAGCTTCCTCTCTCATGGGGGCAGTAACTCCCTGCTGACAGATGGTAACGATGAGCAGAGCTGCAGATCTTCCCCAGGTGCTCGTGCTCAGCCAGGAACACATCTGGGTATCACTTCTGCTTTCGCTTTACGAGGAGGTAAACGCTCAAGACCTCTCACTTATTTATGCTGCGAGTTTAAATTTTTGTGACAAGTTTTGGAGTCAAGGCTTCACGACCCTACAAATCATGAAGAAAAACTCTGCACTTGGACAAACCTCTAAGAAATCTCAGATATTTCATTTAGGTTTCTATGCTGGACAGCATGGTAATTCCCATCACATAATGGCAGACCGAAACGTATTAGACTTTTTCTTTCCTGCATAACAGTTTCAGTTTTTCTATGGAGAGTTCAGAACTGAAAGACTGGAAGAAATCATAATAGCTGTGCTTTTAAGAAGCCAAAATAATCCCTTTTTGGTACTTGGTAGATAGGTTAGCTGTCAGCCATACACATGGTTTTTATAGCTTGCTCACAGCTTCATTCACTACATATACATAATCATACATTATTTCTTTATGGCTCTCCATGTCTCCCTCTGCTCCATTTGACAGATATTTCCTACTTGCTTTTGTGTCTTGTACTTATCTACATTCTGCAGAAGAAACAATTAACCCAAGTGATTTTCCCAGAACAGCATCTCTTCGCTTTATTTTATCTTAGCAGAATTTAATTCAGATACACTCATTTATCCTGTCTCCAAGTTGAACAAAAGTAAAAGAATCATGGCTTTAATCTGTTTGTTTTTACAATGAAAACTCAGGGCTCTTAGCTTTTTCTCTATGTTGAAGTTCTGCATGGTTAAGCAACAATTAAAAGGGAGATTAAAAATTAAGACAACAAAGAAGTATGTTTGTAGACACTGGGCCCCTAGATCTCCAGTGTGAAGCATGGAAAGACTGCAGGATCTAAAACTAGCAAAAATGTATGTCATAAGCTGATACACTAAATGCAAGTCAAATACTCTCACAGGAAACTACAACACGGAGGAGAGTTAAGCAAGAGGGGAAGTGTCATCCTTGGAGTTAGTCACTGCACAGCTCACATGGAGCTTCTCAAGGAGTCCAAGCTGTGCTCTTGAGAATCCAGCTCTGTCCTCAGCAGGACAAAGTTCAGTGAACTGCTGTAATCTGGATAAGAAAATAAGCTTGGCTGAGAAATAACTTGGAAGGCTTCCTTTGTGGGAAGCACTGAGATGAAAGACTACTGTATTTTTGCAGAAGCATTTTAAATCCTTCAAAAGAATGGGCACAGCAAGGGGCTAAGGAGACAGACACTGCTAACCGGCAAGTCAGATACACATAGGAAGAATAATGTCAAAGATTAGTACAAATATAGAAGTCATACCTACTAAATTTCAACATATCACATGGCAGGGCTACTGAATATTTTTTTAGAGAGCAAGTACGTTGCAGACTTCAATTGCACTCCTCCTCCTTACTCCAAGGAGATCTCCCAGCACTGTGTACTGGACACGTTTGCAGAGCACAGGTAAGTCACTACAAGGCAGATGCAAACACTGGTCAAAGTACAGCTGCCCAATAGTCCCTTGTGCCCCAAGGGGCTGCACACTGCAGAGGAACTGGGTTGTGCAGCATGACCAAATGCTTCTTCTGGTATTGCAAAATAGAAAGCAGACATTGAATTTTGCTATCTGTCACTGCTCTGGAGCATCTCCTTTATCTGCCTGATTGGGAGATGAGAGTATGTGTGTGCATGCACACACACGTGAGATCCCTTTCATCAAGGGGCAGCTCTGCTAAAATGTGATCCAACCTGAATTGCAGTGGTAACATCTGCAGCCTCCTTACCTTCATATGTCTTCTTGAGAATTTGAGACTTTCTTAAAATCTTTTGACACATGTTCAGTAGTCTCTGAGCTATGATTTTTTTCCATTTGCTTTTTAGATTTCTAAGGTAATTGCCTGTTTTGTCCTCTAGAAACTGAAATTTAGAAATCTTAATGAATATCTTAAACACTATTAAAGAGTACAGACATGCCTGTGCCTGCTTCTGCCTTCCCATTTTCTGGGTTGCACTGCAGTAAGAGTAGGATCAAGATCTTCAAAGAACAGGACTGATTAAACTGAAAACTATTTTTTATAGTCCTCTCCTTCTGTAATCTAATAAAACCTTTAAATTCTGTACTGTACAAGGAATATATCAAGCAGAAAAAAAGATCAGAAAGTAAAGGCTTGGATAAAATGTGGGTTTGAGCAATTTTACATATTTTAACTCAGTCACAAAACAGAGAGATTTTTAACTCAGTGGCACCTTGTGGTCTGGGCAAGTCATCAGTGCCCAGGCAGCAATGTCCACTTGCTGCGTGGGAAGCCGAAACACTTTTCCTGCCCTGGAACACAAAAGTAGGATTTCCTCAGCTCACAAGGGGAGAGAGAGTTGGGGCTGAAATTCTGGCCTAGCTTGTCGTCTCCATAAGGAGGGAAACACATGAAAGGGTGGAAGGAAATCCACCAGAATGCACCAGCTGGTGCAAGGCCATTAAAAGGCAATTTTCATGAGGCTGACAGCAGGCCAAAAACTACCAAATGGCAGAGACTGGGAACAGCTGAAACAGCTTGTACAGTCGATAATTATATTTTCCATGGCAATGATGCCTATACCAATGCAATTTGAAAAAAACCAACCAGTGTGAACAGACTCAAGAAGGAATTACTGAGGTGATAGCTTCAGAGGAAACTAGTTGCTACAGATTAAGCAACTATATACAAATGAAATTGTAACCAGGAAAATCACAAGTCTTGAAGATAGCAAGCCATAAAACATTGCTGCTGAAGATTTAGTACAGCCTGATTTATGTGTTATCGAGTGCAATGTCATTGCAAACGTGAAAGAGATGAGATAAAGCAGTTAAGCATCAAGGGAAAATCAGATAAAGTGAAAAACAGTAAAATGTGTAGCAAATCTGGTTAATGAAGGGGCTAACACCAATATTCTACATGGATGACAGAAAAATTATGCAAACATGAAGAGAATACAATCTGTAGCTTCTTAGTCTTCATGAAGTTCTTGTATAGAATTACAAAGTGGAAGAAAAGCAATAGGTCAAAGACTAAATAAAGAATACACTGATTTTAAAAGCCAAAATGGTACAGAAAACAATTTAGTCCTATCTCCAGTAGATTGCCCTTCCTCCTTGACAGAGCTTTCCAGCTTCCTTGTGACTGTTTCATAATTCATAGCCAAATGCAAACACCAGAAAAACCACAAATTTAATGCAAAGTAAACCAACTGCACCTGTGAACGGCACTACAGACAGTTTTCTTCACCCATAACTCCAATGCTTGTTCTAAAGCTGCTGTAGCAGTTCACCCTGTCCTGAACGTCGCACCAAAGTGCCACTGCAAGAGCCTCTGCAAACAGAAGGCTCCAGGGACTCTAGTTGGGTTTGCAAAGTGTTTGGGCAATATAAGGAGGAAGCATGTAAATATGTATATTAAACAACACCCATGTGTCTGTTACTTGAAGTACAGTCCATATCACAGGTACTGCAGCATCTCGTTCCTTCAGAAGTTATAGAAGCACTTCAAGGCACACGTTACAGGTAAAGAACTCAAAAGAGAACAAAATTGAATTAAAATATTTTTTGCTGTTGTGTGGTGGCTCTGTTCAGTGCATGAGAAGCAGGTGTTTCCAAATTGCTGATTTTAAAAATAATTTCTTCTCACTTGTTCTGCATACACTTCACTTAAAGCAAACTAACTTAATTTGGGAACTAAACTCCAGAAGAACAGTCCTTAAGGATGAATTGTCCCTTGTCATTCCTCAACTATGGACTTGACCTTGGTCCCTAAAGGAGTTCATAGTATTGATTATGTGCACTGGGAGGTTAAAAAACCCCTAGTGTATCACATTTGCCACAGCAATTCAGAATGCTCTCTTTTTTTTTGGTTTTGCAAAGCCTGTCATACATACTGTTCAGTGGGCAATGGCACAAATGAAACTATAATCCAGATACAGTTTGCAGGTGATTTACAGCAGCATAGACCCAAACAACTTACAAATCAGTGCACCCTACTGTGTTTTCAAATAACTAGCACACTTCTGTGAAATGTATTGCATGCTTTGCACCTTTGTGTCCTTCTCATTGAGACACCAGAGGAGCAGCTCAGGAAAATCTAAGCAAATGACTAACTATCCTCTCCAATGAGAAGTGTAAACCGCTGGAATGAATGACTGTTTATACTCACTTGATATAATACGGCACTTTGTTGGGTGAGATTGCCCTCTCCCAGGGGCCTTGGACAGAAGCTGTTAACAACAAACAAACAAACAAATAAATCAATAACTGCACACATACATCGATACATACACACATACCTAGAAGAGAAACATGGAGGTAAACAGGAAAGACAACGTTAATCTCCGGAATTACAATCTGACCCCTTGGTACAGGTCTGTTTGCTCAGCTGCCCATGAAGGCAGAAGGATTAACCTGCTGTTCTGAAATTTCTGTCCTAATCTGAGAGGAACTGAACTCATTCAGCTGCAAAGATAAATATGAAACCCCTCTTGGACAGCTGAGCTTACAGAACAGATATGAAACAGGGCAAGCAACTCATCTTTCTGGTGTGTTTTTATTGGGTTCCTCCTGCTAATGTCTTTGGGTTTTCTTCCATTTCTTTCCTTGGGTGGACACCACTTCCCATCTTCACAAACAGAATTACACACTTGTTTACATTTTATGCTGAGTGAAGTTGCACTGAGAGATCATCTAAGAATTCTGCTTATTGTTGACTTTTTCTAGTGGTAAGCATTTTTATTTTTATTTCTCCACATTACTAACTGTGCCTTATTGCCTTCCAATAACAGCAAATAATGGAGAAAATGACAATGTTATCATAACCAATAGAGAGGAAATTATATTGTGCACTCTTGGCTATCACAGTGTTAAATGTCAATATCAACGTACATCATAAGGAAAATATTTTGTAACAAAGATTTTTATAGACCTCATTGTGGCAAAATAATCGTAAATTATTTTTATTAGAGGTTTTATTAGAGGCAGAGATAATTTATAGATTAGGCCATAATCAGGGAGATACTTTTTTATTAAGAGTTTATCTGTCAAAAGCAGTAGAGCCAAGAATTTTCTTTCTTTATTGTAATAATTAAAACAAAAAAACATATGGAAAGTAATATAGTGGAGGAAAAAAAAATCCTGTTTGCTTCACCCAGTGTAACCCTTCTTTTCAGTGACCCCTGCTGTTCACGAAGGAAAGCAATTGTTACCAAGACAATTAGTAATTAGCTCCTTGATCATCTGGGTCCAAGCATTACTTTCCCTCTCTTATTCAAAATAGATACTTAAAAAACACCACATCCGACTGCAGGTACTTTAACAGAGTCAATAAATCACAGCCCATACAAATAATAATTACCAATATACACATTTCATATATATTGTACCAGATTCACAGAAGTCAGTTTGTAAGGTTTCTTAACTGTGGGGACTGGTATTGTCTGAGGAATAATTTGACTCAGACTATACTAAGTTACAACGTTTGAAAATAAAATACCCTTCAGTGGTAACTAAAAATTGCCCTTCTTACATATTTTTCTCCCAAACAGTTATTAATATTCCCAACGGGTATACTACCAAGCTATAGTTCTTCCACTTTCAGATTCTTTTTTAATTCAGTAGCTACAGGACAGAATAGACTGTTGTGTATTTTTAGGAAGGTGTATTTCTCCTGTTGCTTCTGAATTAATCTGGGTAAGAGCTTTGCAGTCATAACTTATTATCACAGAATCTCACACATGACAGTCGATCCATTAGAAGAGGAACAAATACTTTTGCTTTCATGAAAGCAAAGTGCTATAGGAATAACAAACATTTCTGTGATGTTCTGCATAATTGGATTTAGTGTTCCTTCAAGAGACTGCTGTGAAGCTGTCTATAACACCCTTTTGGTTTCCTGGATGATTGTAACCTTGCCTACCTCTGAGTTGACAAAATGTGCAGTGCTTTTTACAGCTCTGCATAGAGAAGAATCATTTCATCTTTGGCAGAGACCCAGGAGCTGAGAACAGCTGTTTCTTATCTCTGCTTAGCAGTACAGGTTTACATTACAAAGTCAGTAGAGGTAAATGGTTAAGACCATTTTAGTAGTCCATCTAACAGTCTTGGTAGCAAAGACTTTTTTATGTGATGCTCTAGTATCCCTGTGAGCTGCAGCACTCAAGAAGCAAACATCTCCTGTTTGCTGAGAGTAATTCAGAAGTGTTTTATCGTTCGAGCTCGCACGGCCTAAGAACCATCACCATACACCCAGCTACTTGCCATGTTGTTGCCTGAAATTTAGTACTACAACAAAATATAGGCTGTTTGAAGAGTGAATTTCAATCTCCTTATACTTTATTTGCATTGATAGACATTTTAATGGTTACCTAATTTTGGAGTTTTATTTCTTCTGTAGGTGTGCTAAGAGCTGAGATTGTTCTGCCTATTCACCTCCAGTGCTCTTGCCAATAGACCTACATTCTTATTTGGCTGAATGTATAATGAAACAGTGGCATGCTGGCTCTCAGCTTCAGTGGTGTTTTAATCTATGCAGGGATCTGAATGAAATATTAAATAGGACGATAGTATAATTTTTTTCCTGTGTTGATACTACAAAAAAAAAAGCTCATAAATATTTCACTTTAGCACTACAAACATAATGAAAAATACATGTATGTTTGCTAATAGTAAACTATTTCTCCTTCAGCTATTCAAAGAGTAAATTTAGTATGTCCACATTTAAATGTTACTCTCAGTGGCTCTTATTTACATAGTCAGCTCAGACTTCTAGTCACCACACAGGCAGGAGCATATGTTTTCAGTTCTAAACACAGAGAAAAATATTTTGACTCTTATTTGTCACTAGGGAGTTTATAGGACAGAAACCACAAAGAAGCACCATGTAAGGCACATACACTGACATAGATCTTCTCAATTTCTTTTTTTTTTTAATTTGGCAGAAAAGAATTTTATTTATTATACATATGCCTTTCAACTTCATGGCAGTTAAAGCTGAGCTCATTTTGAGTTGACATTGCCCTGCTCGGTGGCCACAGTGGCTGAAACTCAGCAAGGTGCTTCATTATGTTCCCATTTCACATTTTAATAATGCAAAGAATTCTCTGATTCAGCCTATAAACCCTACCTGCATGGTTTACATTGTTCTACATAGTATTATCATCATTAATATCTTAATGCAAACATAGAGATAGGAGATTATTTATTTATTCACATAAAGTTTGTTTTCATACCAATTATTCTCACTGCAGCAAGGTATGGAGTCGTTGGTTTCAGATAAAGGCAGGGAGGAAGAAATAATGAAACTATCTTTGCATCTGGAAAGACTTTGACTCCCCAAGAATCAGAAGTACACATCTGTGTAAGCTACCTTAACTTTTCAAAGCAGATACGTTGAGTACTATATTTCAATTATTTTCAAATGACACCATTATAAATGAGAAACTACTGCTCTCCACAGACTATAAAGAGCTCCTGCATCTCCTCCCCAGAGGACATGCTAAAGCAATGTTTCCCCAGCACCATCAGTCCCTGATCCTCTCTGGCAGGATGCCACCTCCAGTGCACATGGCTGTGTGACGGGGCACAAGAGAAGTGTTTGCATACTCCAAGAGATCCTTTGCAAGAAACGTCAGGACACATCTGTAAAAAAATTCTTTTCACCCCAGATGTATAGAGAACTGATTTCTGAATGAGGTGCATTTGTTATTGAACCAGAAGTGCCTGATGAACTATCAGACCATGTTGTGTAGCACCAAGGCTAATATTGTACCGTGTGGTTAAGAATCTCTTGTCAGAATACATCGACTACACAATTTAGAAGTGGAAAGACAGAAACATGAATCAACCCCCATCTTTCATAAGGACTACACAGCACGAGGTCTGTTCTGCTCTGAGCCCTAGCTGCACCTGGAGATGGATTCACGGGCGTTTCAGAGACAGAGCCCATTCTCCCCTTGGATTCTGCCACTCCTAAGCCCAAGCAAACACCCATCACTTCCCTGGAACTCTAGCAGCACCGTCTGCTGCTGCAGCACACGTGCAGACATTTACTGAATATACCATTTTTAGAGCACTTCTAACCAATTTGAAGAAGGGATTATTAGTCATTAAAAAGTTCAGCACATGATCAGGGCCAATGACGACAGTCATTTTACGAGAGTTATACAAGAGACCCTTTCATCCTGCATTTCCTGATGAAACCTTTATGGCCAACTTCAGATTTCTCATCTGCAGCTTGGGGTCAAGACTGTATCATAAGAACCAAATAATGCACACCTTTAATCATGAACAGTGTTCCCAGAAGTTTCCAAATGCCACTTGTAACATGAAATATAAAATCCATCTAATGCTCATTGTCTTAAATGTCATACTACTGTAAAATGGCAAAAATACAACCATCTACTTGTTTAATACCAGAATACTGCATGAAACACAGCAATGTGATAGAGTCTGTAATGAGCCACATACCCCAAGTTACAGGTAACTTCTGTTGCACTTTTACGCTCTAAAAGTGAAATCTCTAAAATGGATTGATCAAATGAGGTCAGAAAATGGTCTAATCAAATTAGTGGTGATTTTTGGCAAATGAAATGAGATAAATAGAAAATTAAATCTTTAGTAAATATTCCATGTCTCACATTGCAAAACTGAACAGAAAAATTAGATATAATTAGATATAATCTATAGTAGATAGATAGATAGATAGAAAGAATATGCCAATTGTATCCCAGTCCTGAAGCCTGAGGTCAAAGGAAAGTCCCAAACTGAACACAACATACAACTCACAATGACATGGATACACGGTTAAATTCATCAGAATTAAACTTGGAATTGTAAAAAATGAAGTAGTTTTCGTTGGATTCACAGACCCAATGTTACTTCAAAATGATTAGAAAATTTTTTGGGGAACAATGTGTCTTAGCAACATAGTAATTTAGAGAGTGGACAAAAGTATAACAGACAATAAACCATCTTTTTGAGTCTTATACCCATTAAGAGGAAAAAATAATATTTGATTACTTGCAAATTATTTTGCATTGCAGAATACAGACAATCTGCCAATCAAGGATAAATTACAGAAATTAATTAGGCTGCAATAAAAATATAAGATAGCATTTTTCCTAACCACCTCCTCCAAAAAAATCCCTCTTTGCTTTAAAATAAACATTATACAGCATTTTTTAATTGATGACAAATGAAAACCAAGAGGACAAAAGAGAGATTTAGA